AGCTGAGCTCACACAGGTACCTGGCAGTCCCTGAGGAATTACTTCAGCCTCCTCCTGTGGCTGGGGAAGGAGGAGCCCTGCTGGGAAGGAGGAGTGCAGGCTGTGGCAGGGCCTCACACAGGCTGTGCTCTTCACCTGTAAAGGCACAGAACTGGGAGGGAGAATCCCAGCCAAGGCACCCAGGTTCAGCTACAGAGTCTCAGTGTCCATCTGCTGAAGAACTGGTCCATGAACTGCTTTTGCTCTTGACTGGAAAAGGAGGGTGAAACTCATCCAGGGAGTTAGAACATAAATTAACATTATCTCTTGAATATTGTGAACATCATCTCTTGTACCAAAATAAATACAGATATGTAGTATTATGTGAAAGATGAAGAAATCACTCTAAAACTAGACTATGAAACTTCCAGCCCCTCAGCATAAGAGAAAGGGTTTTATGAGCTTTGGTGGGCTGCAGGAATGCATGATTGCAATCTCTTTGTTTCTGCACCACCAGCAGTGCAGATATCTGGGACAAGAACTGCAGGGTAGCTGGGGCAGAACCAGGACCCGTCCAGGCACAAGCAGCAGCCATGAGCTTCTCCAAAACCACAACAGAAAGTGCTCAAGCATGTCTGGTAAATTTGGGTAACAAGAGAAGTGCCTGAAGAGGCACTGCAGCCATTCCCTCATTCAATGCTCTCAGCTACATAACCAACAGGACACAGCTAAGTTTTTACAAGTACATTTTTATTTAAAATAAAAATTAATTATGGTGCCTTTTTAAAATAGGGTACTGCACAATCTGTATATGCAACACAGTTTTTGGTACAGAACATACTTATTGAGCAATATCCTTAAATACTAAATATACATTAATGGCTTGTTTGAGAAACATGACAACATTAAGTCTGATATTTTTTTTCTCTTTAGTCATTTAACCACTGATACAGATTTCCTATAAACAATATTCGTTTTCATCTGTACATGTGGTACACAGTCAAGAAGGCAGATCTTAGAATATTTACATTCATGCATTGATTTAAACACACTATTTTGCAGTTTAAAATAATATATTTTTGTTTGTACAGGTGCAGGGAGTATAGTAAATACATATCTACCATAGGCCTGATTCTCCATTGCTTGGCAGCATCAATGGTCATGACCTGGTTGGAGCAGGGTGCCCCCACTTTCTCCACGTGCTGTGACCATGTAGCATGCAAGACTGGACAAACAGGTCTCTGTATAGATATATATCAATATATTTATATTTTATACTTCGTAGAACTTTCCCCTTTCTTTCCATGTCTGTTTTTGCAGCATCTGTCCAAGGCAGAAATGCTTCCCTGGGCACACCACTGTGTCAGGTGTGGGACAGGATGGGCAGCAGGGCTGGGGCTTCAGCTCCACTTTCCTGTCTTGTGAGGAACGAGGAAACTCAACACTTGGCAGCTCAGGCCCTTAAGGTGCATTCCCTGCTAGTGGTGATCCATGAGAAGAGATTTGGAGCTTCTGCTCTCCCTCAGACTGAGGGCAGCAGTTTGCTGAGTTTGTCTGGTGGTGGTCAGAGCACAGCAAGTACCTTCTGTGTAGAAACTGGCCACCTTCACATCTGCTGGGAATTTGACTATTTTGTCAATGAAGCTAGGCAGTCCTTTCTACCCCTGATATTTTAGTGGCTAAAAAGGAACTCAAAATGCTTGTAAAGCTGCATTTTGGGTTGCCAGTTCCCCAGATCCAGGATCACTGCTTAGTGAAGTGCTTATGTATCTAGTGAAGTGCTTATGTATTCCTTTCCCTTTGCATTTAATTATAGTACAGTAAGGAATCACAGAAGCCTCTCTTATATAAGCTTTGCAAGTAGTCTGTAGAGTATTAAACACAATATTAAACCCCATCAGCAAGCCTCAGAAATCACTCCTCAGTGACATCCCCTGTCTAGCCTCCCTTTTCTGAAGAGTTGTGTCTGATTCCAGTACCCTTTTCCTAGTGCCTTTCTCAAGATCCCTTTGGTGCAATGTACCCAACTGCACCTGGGCAGGAATCTAAGGGCAAAGCCACCCCATGCAAGATCTCCCACCTCTCCTGCCACGCTGCCATGTGAGGGCTGAGAGCCAAGGGTCTGGGCAGGCAGAAGAGCAGCTCGCAGCCCGTCTGCTGCTGCTTTTCTTTTGTGCATTATAAAAGCACATGAGGAAAGCTTGCTCAAGAACTATGATGGCAATGATGTGCCCAATACATTTATCAGCATGTTGCATATATTGATACTGTATATCCATCCGCCTAGCGAATAAGCCGTGTGTATTTCTCTCAAAATGCTGCTGCAGAGCTGGTACCTACTTTTATTGTGATTATACAGATGGGTAAACTGAGGCACAGAGAGGCAAAATTACTTGCTAGTAAACAGCAGATCAGTGGCAGAGTTGGAAACAGATCCTAGCCAGCATGTGCTGTGCCTTGCAATGCCCTGCCTCTCCACTCTCCAGGAAGTTTTTAAAGTTTATGTTCTCCTGGAGAGTTTTCATGGGCCCTAGGCTGGGTTTGCTTGTGGGTTGTGTCATCATCAGAATTTTCTCTAGTGAGGAATTTTTTTTTTTTTACCACTGATTTTACCACTGATACCAGTGAAAATCAAGACAGTTTAGTGACCATCTCTTTTTACTCTTTTTTTTGCAAAAACAGACATATTTTGATGGACATAATGACCTACAAATCCTTTTTGTGATTTTGACCTTACAGAACATGCCTTTAAAGCTGTATTAGGAAACAAATTAAATTGACAACCTTTAGGAAAAAGTGCTAATCCTGAGCCCATATTATGCTAAACTTATCTGCATTCATACTTTATACTCTCAGATAAACATGCAACCAGTCTCAAGCTATGCCACATTTCCACATTTAGGCTGAAACAACTGGAGTAAAAAAAGAAAGGCAAACATAGGTAACTACACCAAAATAAATGTTATAGCTTAAAAATATTCTAGAAATATACTTGCAATATTTTTATTATAGTATTTAGGGGCTAAGTGCTTTAGGCAATCAACATTTGGGATACTAGACTCAAATTGTAAATTGTGTAATTTTAATCCCACTTTGGATCTAAGAATATATCACTGTGTCTTGCACAAGCACACAACATTAATGTGGCTGGGAATGATCATACTTGTGGTTACTTGCCTCCTTTCACTTTTGCAATTGCATTCACTTCCCAAGAAAGTCTAACTTTAAAAAATAATTTTATGCAGTTAAACTTCTACATAGTGATGACAGACTAAAAAGCTAAATTAATAACTACATAAATTTCTCAAGAGCAATATATAGCAGCATTTCATTTTATAATTGAAAAGGTACTTGTATTTACATACACCCTATTTTTTGATACGTCATAGAAAACTGCAGATGGGCCTGAGCTGAGACTGCTGATTTGAACATTCCAGAGTTTTTTTTGGGAAGATCTGCAGAACACAGTCTTCCTCTACCATCACACCAAATTCTGCATCCCAGGAACAGATTAACCACGGGCCGGAATGCGCTCAAAATCCAGGTCTGATTTCTGCAGTTCAGGCACATCCTTATATAAACCCAAAAGTATTGGTGTGCTGCAGTGCTGAGGGACAACACAGCTGGGGCAGCCAGGTCCCAGAGCGAGGCTGCATCGGTGCCTGGGAGTTACCCACAGACACAGAGACCGAGCGGTACCAAAGTTTTATGTCCAGACAAGACGCCAGGGTATAAATTTGTCTTTGACTGCATCACTACTTTCAGCACAGAGGTAAATGGAGACATACAGGTGGAGATATGACACAAAGGGAAGTTTTCAGGAGGTAGGGAAAGACCAGCATCTCAACTAGTCTCATCACCTTTATCCTAAGGGCTACTTACTGAGTCTGACCTGAGATCCTATGTGAAATGAATTTGGGTAGATTCAGCTTTGCTTTAAATAGTCTGCAATCCATGTCATGGAAAGTATACTGAACTGTTGCTGAACTTGGCACCACTGTCAGCCTCAGCTCAGGAGAGGCAGAGACCGAGGTAGTGTGGGCACAACCAGCTACCAGACCCTCAAAAGTGGTCCTACAAGCCAGACCTGCAATGTCCTCAGCGCATCAGTTCAGGAGACTCAACACTTTGAGGGAACAACACTAACCAGTGAATGAAGAGAATTTCGAAGGGCTGCTAGTCCTTTCAACACAATCCTGCCCCAACACTCACACCAAGATGTAAACAGTATCTTTCCTGTAGGAGTTTCCCTGGGGAATCAGTGTGATGCGAACACAGAGAAACATGGAGTTTCACAAAGGAACACATCTGTACTGTGTACCACATGTACAGATGAATAAAATAAAATGTGGTGCAAAAAAGGAGGCTGATTATGAAGTCATTATGTTTAAAGCGCATCTTAATAACATCTCTTTCAATAGCAATGGTAATTGCTAAAATCTTACATTTTAATTTCTTCTGCCTGAAAACTTCAGCCATGAAAACTGCATAGTCACCAGACCACAGATAAATTTTTTGGGATAAGTCACAAGTTCAGGCCAATTTTGCTTGATTGCTTAACAGAAACCTTTGTTCCCTTTGTAATAACAAAATAGTAAGAATGAAAAGAATGAAGCATCAGCGTATGAAACTGCACAGGCTGGAGAAGCACACGGGTGACACCTCTCACCATTTAGAGGGAGGCACCTCCCATTTAGAGGGAGACACCTCCCTCTGGCCCATCTGTGGGCCATAAACTACTGCCACTCTGGCAGATAACCCTCTCCTCAAAAGATTCTACTCCAGAAGCTTTTTGTGACACTCAGTTCAAACACAAAAGTAGGGGAAGAGAGGAAGAAGAAGAAGAAGGAGTGGGAGGTATGGCAACATGGCTTTCATGGGATGCAGCATGCAGTGCTTATGCCTTTGTGAGGCCTTTCCTCTGGGCAGCCCAGGTGGGTGAGCTGATCCTCCCCTGGAGCAGCAGCAAGCCTGGAGAGCAGCCTGTTTTTCTCTTCTGGATCACTGATGCGTGCGCTGTTTCTGAAATGAAGTCCTTGGCCACAGAGCTCCCTTGGTTGCCTCATTTCACCCACCTTGCATACTCTGTGTGTGTGCTTTGAAAGTTTGCCACCTCCTGCGCTTGGCGGGCTCCCGGGGATTATACGACCGCATTGTTATCAACTGTTTTGTTGTTCTGGGAGGAGGTCATTGCATATTCCGACCGACTGGTTCCGTTCTCTTCTTTTCTCATTGGTTTCCTTGGGTGAACCCACGTTTGGTGATGTACAGACAGGGAAGGGAGAGAAGAAAAACAGAGATCAACATCTTCTTTGTCAATACAGATCGAAAGCCAGGACATGTAAGGTACATAATAATACTGAACTTCTGTCTATTTTTCCCTTTCTGAACACAGGCCAAAGCAGCAGCTAATTTTGCCAAGCATCATAGTCCACCTGCAAGGTGACATGTCTGATCCTAAGGTGTCATGATGTGCTCTTGGTGTCCCCATGCTAGTCTGTTAATGGATACAGATGTCCCTGTTGCATGAGATGAAGGCTCCTAGAAGGAATGTCCTCCACAGCCACCTTCATCTCTGGAACACAGGCTGGGATGCTGGGCTGGGAGCTGGGTGGGCTCTGCCTTGGGGCAGTCATGACCTTTCTCCTCAAAGTGTCATATTAGTCAAACTGGGATGATGACCAGTCATGTCCCCCAAGGACCCAAGTGCCTCACTGGTCATGAGAACACCACCGTGTTCAGTCACTAGGAGTGGACTCATCTGACCAGTGCAGGTATGTACACACCTGTGGTGACCACCACAGACAATCTCCACAGCCAGTGGAGAAAAACAGGTGCTTTCAAACATGATTCAGAACAGCTTAAAGTGGATATCCAAAATATGCCAGATGCTTTGTGCCCAAGGCATTTGTGTTTCCCTGCACTGTCAGTAAAGGCAGGCTAGTCTGCTAGCCCAGATAGAGGTGTCTGTGTTCTAGGCGACTGAGCTGGAGACTGAAACATGGTGCCTGCCGTGACCTACCACACTTCCAGCAGCATTGCCTTCTTGTTTTGTTTAGTGGCCACTCCTACTATTTGCTAACACAGTCCAGGATCACTGTTAATTGTGAGAAAATTCAGGAAATTCTTAACAAGTGCAGAAAGCTATCAAGCATCTGTACATCACAGAGCAAAATAATTTATTAAGGATTTTATAGTTACTCTGAAAAGGGACACCTGAGCTTAAGTCCTATAACAGACCATGTTCCATCTTGTAACTTCCCCCCACAACTTCCCTTCTCAAAAGTAGCTTAACTTGAAGCTTTAAACATAGTAGGAGGAAAAAAGCTTTGTGCTTTCCACACAGATATTTCAGACATGAGTGTCTTGAGTTTAAGGTGTTGCTGAGGGCAAAAAGAGGACCAGATACATGTATTACAACAGTCATTCTGTGCTATTGTTCTCATCAATGTTTAACAAAACAAACAGCAATTATTACAAAATGGTTAATGATATTTAATTTCAGCAAAGTATTAATGGAAGCTTTATGGACAGTGATTACAGGTAAGTAAATTTGTTTGCTTGTAATCTCAAAGAAAATACTTTTGATTGTGATATTTTGTGCCTCTCTACCTGGTAAAAGTTAAAGCTTGTTAATGTTAGTCATGATTGCAGCTATTAGAGAATGGAAATGGAAGGGGAGACCAAGAGTTGAGGAGACTGAGGGGTTTGAATAACTGTTTTTCAGTGCTCAACATGCAGTGCCTGTCTGAATCTGAAACAAGGTCATGTGGGTCTTTCTTCTGTGACACTGAAAGCACACATCCACCACGCCACATCCCTGACAGGAAGAATGGAGACTCTGATGGCAGTGCTTATTTTTTGTCAGGGCAGGAAAAATGGAGTGGCTGCCTAAACATCTCTGCTGCTTTCAAAAATTCTTTTGTTTTTCTTTTCTCCCAGTTCCAAACCTATCAATGATTTAAAAAATTGATGACATTTTGGCCACTTTTACTTGCTGTTTTTCTCCTATTTACTCCTTCTTTCTTTGGTCTCCTATGTTTCTGCCCCTCTCCAGTTCCATTTTCTTTCCCTAACTAGAATTCTTCTTCTTTCTTTATGTTAAAAAATGTCTTCCTCTCATTTTTATCTACATTTTTGCATTTTCTAGTAGTGATTTTAAGATGTACTGCTTCATTTGTCTTGAAATTTGGACTTTCCCCTCCCCAGGTCTGTGTGTCCCAGCACAGACCTGGGTGGATTGGAGGCTCTCCTCTGATGGTGAGATCTCTCTGCAGACCCTGCTAGACAGGTTGCCAGGGATATCATACCACTGGCACGTGCATGCAGTGGAAGAGCATTTTTTCAGAGCCTGCAAATAGAGGAAGGGAGATTTTATCAAGGTTCTGCTTCTGCCTTATCAATTGCTCAGAGTTAGTGCTAGCAAAACAGAGCACTTATTTTCCTGAGTCTCAATGAAAAGACTATTGTTACATGCAAAAGTTCAGGCTTGGAGACTGCTCTCTTTAACTCCTTCTCTCCATTTGTTTTCAAATGCACAACCGGCAGGCATTTGGGGTCAGACTTGCCCCAGGTACATCATTTAAATCACTGGCTTGGCAGGCTGGTATGGCCTTCTCACCATGATGAAATTTGCCCATGTATTTAGATAAACAAGGTCATTTTGGCTTGTTGTGATTTTTCAAGTGCCCTCTTGTGTGACAGTGTTCACAGGGGTTCTTGGGTGAGGCAAGAGACGAGAATGTTGACTCTATGTTCAGAAGGCTTGATTCATTATTTTATGATATATATATATTACATTATAACTATACTAAAAAGAAATAGAAGAAAAGGTTTCCTCAGAAGCTAACTAAGCTAAGAATAGAAAAGAAAAGAATGATAACAAAGGCAGCTCTCTCGGACTCTGTCCGAGATACCTCCGTCTTGATTGGCCATTAATTAGAAACATTCAAGATGGCCCAATGAAAAATCTACTTGCTGCATTCTACAGCAGCAGATAACCATTGTTTACATTCTTTTTCTGAGGCTTCAGCTTCTCAGAAGGGAAAATCCTAAAGAAAGGATTTTTAGTGAAAAAGATGTCTGCGACACTCTTGCATTAGGGCATTGGCTCTCTGTGTTCCACTAGTTCTGTGCCACTAACTCTTTTTACTCCAATTTTTGTTCACTGTTGAGATCCAAGCATGCAAAGTTTCTTGCACACCAAAGAGAACTCTTTTATCCTATTTTCTGCCTAATACACCAAATTGTGCATGATCTTCCAAAGTGTAATACTCCAAGCCCCCTTTCAGATGATAAACTATGGACACACATTTATGCATTTCAATTCCAGGGTTGCTCTTGATTGGTTAAAGGGATGTTTGAAATTAGTGAGGAAATGAGTAGGGAACTATTCATAGCTGTGACATACTCACTTGGTGGCAGGCGAAACAGGCTTTTCACTAATAAGTGGTTTGCATTGTTTTACAGTATAATTTGTTATACATTGTTTAGCAAACAAATTGGGTCTTCATGCCAAACATCTGTCAATGAAACTCTGGCCATGCAACTCTGTACAGCTTAGCACACGCCTGAAATGGTGCCTCAGAGTCCATAATGACCTCTCCACCATGCATGCATTAACTTGTGCGAGTCCTAAAATCAAGAAAGCATCAAACAGCTGTTTAACAGTGTATTTCAAACATCAAGCTAAAATTTCAGATGAAGTTCTGATCACATTATATATCTTATTTATCAAAGAATTTCATACTGGCTTGTCACATTGGCTTGTACCAATCCTCTGCAGAGTCCTGGATAAAGGTCAATAATGCACATTCAAACACAATTTTTATGTTCTACGTTTAGAAAATTTTTTAGAGGAAACATAGTTTTTGGCCCTTTATCAGGTCTAGTCACAAAACTTAGTTTGTATATTTGACAAAACCCTCCTTGCCAGCTTTGGCTACTGTGTCAATTTGGCATTGACCTACTGTTTATCAGGCAATTATGTGATCGAGTACTAGGAAAGGGCTTCACCTCTCATCCCATTTGTACACACTTCACATGTATGGCTACACAGACAAAATCAAGTAAAACCAGAGCAGACTACTCATTTAATCATGACTTTATCACACCTCATTATAGGCTTAATAAAGCTTTGGGAAGAATAAGATCACTTTGACATGGGAACAGAACTTTTCTCCAGAACTGTAAGCTGCAAGAGAGTTTAAAACTCCCAGTGCAATCCACATTTCATACACTTCCAGGTGCTTCATGCTTGAAAGGGATGAGAGTTTAGAATAAAACCTGATTTCATAAGACAGCCTGAGTATTGCAAAACTGTTTCTGCCAATTACCTCCATAGCAATGTCTCTGTTGAGTGCCAGAGCATCCAGCCCAGCATCTGGGAAGGCTGGGTTCCAAGGAAATCCAATTAAGCTAGGAAGGAGTGACCTTGGGCTGGCAGCAGAGACATGACAGGATCTCAAATTCACCTCCTCCTGGGGTTCCCGTACCTGACTCAGCACTGCCAGGAGACACCTGTCTCCACTTGGGGATTTGCTGCCCTGGATTATTCTCTGGGGAAATACATATCCTATTTCTTCCCAAAGAGCAATAGAGGGTCATTCTTCTTTTCAGGTATAGCTAGAAGATGAAAGACTGGTTTTTTGGTATGCATTGTTGGAGGGCATTGCCAGTTCTCAGAAGTTCAAAGTGAAACTTCACTCTTTGCTGACAGTGGTACAAAATTGTAAATTGTAAAAGCCAACTGAAAAAATCTCTCTCTATGTACATATATACATGAAAGATTGCACTGTATGGGTATCAGTATCAACTGAGAGATTTTACCAAAGGTGAAGGCTACAAGGCATCTCTGTACTGTCTGTGCACAATTGTATTTGTGCCAATGTAAGGGGTGCGTGCCCATGCCAAAAATCCCTTTGTGTTTTCAGTTCCTCTCAGGAAGGTGCCTTTAATAGCATGTAAAGAGCTTGTCTCTCTCCTAATTGCTGTTTCATTCCTGAACAAAGTTCTCTGGGCAGCTGCATTTGGCAGCCCCATTTCTGGTGCTGGCATGTGCTGGGTTAAGTGCTAATCTCTGGGGCAAAGTGGCTGAAGGGAGAAGGCAAATCAGGGAGCTATTTTACTTGCATGTGCAGTGATCTCAAAGCTCTTCTCCATAACCATATTTCATTAGCTATCAACACACAAAAGATAACAACTTTCAATAAAATTGGGTCTCATACAATACACCCATTTG